CTGTATAAATATAAATTTTTGTCTAATAATTATAAAATAATATCATCTATATTTTCTTTGTACATTATTATGTAGCATAAAGGTGTACCATATTGTCATGTACCATGTTATGGAGCTCTTTTTGGACCACAGTTATTTGGTCATGGAACAAGGGTTGAATCACATACAAGCTTTGGAAAAAAAGAAGCTAGGCCATCATTACCTAGGTATATAATTCAAAACAGTATGTTGTAACTTAACATTTTTATCAAATTTTTATACTATTAAAATCTTCTTATCCAGATCACACTTAGAATCAAAATTGAAAGTTTTCAATCAGTATTATGAAGGAAAAAGTGGTGGAATAAGAAGTCGCGAGGTAAGCAAATATTTATTTTACATTATGATTCTAAAAAAATTGAAGCAACCACACAGTATTAATTTTTCTGCAGGTTAATGGAAGATTAATTTTGGAAGGAGCGCTTCGAATTTATTGGGGTGTTCGGGGTGTAATTCACTTAAAAGAAGACGATGATCAACGTACAGTAGTGACGGCCCGAAACAGAAATTCATGCAGGCGTAGTGTTACCGATGTTTGTATCTATTTTTATGCGAAAACAAATTTAGCAAATTAAAAAAGGGAGTTTTGTTCATTCCTATATTTTACAAATTTTTTTTATAGAGCATAGAAGATGAGGTAAAAGAGGATAATACAGTAAAGGAAACATGTGAACAAGATGTAGAAGCTGAAGCAAAATCAATTCCAACATCTCCTGATCATCTTAAGAGTCTCACTTTACCAATGAAACTAGATGTTAAGACCATGGAATGGGATGAATTGGACGAGCTTCTTCAGGTTTTATATTGATTTATCAAACTTCTGATCATTATATATTTTTTTATATTTTATTTAATCATATCTTCTTTTAATTCTGCAGGTTGAACGTAAAGTTGAAGATGGAAATAAACTATACCAAACAATGCCTGAAAATCTGCCATCAATAAGTTCGCAATCCAGTACCGATACGCTGCCGCTTTCTTCTCAATCCAGTCTTGACAGATCTGATTCTCGTGAAAATTCAGAAACTAGTAGTCCTAATCATCAAACCAATCGTGGCAACGATAGCAGTGTAACTAGTACACCAACACACAGTATAGGCAGCTCCTCTAGCACTGACACACCTATTTATCATGGTACACCAAATCGAAATGGAACACTTCGAAGAGTGGAATATTTCGATAGTTTGGAGAAAAATATGTCTAGCAGTAGAACCATTAGCACCGATGACAGTTGGATAGAGAAAGGCTTAAATCGATCAATGTCCGGACCTGACTGTCTCCAAAGACATCGAACTGATAGCGACACAGATTCTGTAAATTCTCTACAGTTCCGAGAAGACGACAACATGACAATGTCTACCGATAGTGGATTAGAGGTATTTAACATTAAGCATTTTTTATATGTTATTTTATTTCATTATATGCACATCAGAAATATGTTTTAGCTGGATGGTGTAGTTCTACGACGAAAACAAGGGTCCACTGCAATTAGACGTCGTCCTGGTGGTCGACGACAATCACGTAGTCGATTGCGGCGTCGTTGTTCGATTAACGGACACTTTTATAATCGTGAAACTAGTTTTTTCACACCTCCGCATGGATCTCAGATGTCCGTTTGGATAACAAGCTTGGTAAATACTCAAGAAGTTATCAATCTCATGTTGGACAAGTATAAAGTTGATGCTAAGTCGGACAATTTTGCGTTGTTTGTCGTTCGTGATAATGGCGGTGAGTTAAATTGATTTAGAAAATATGTTACCATTTTTAGTCATCATTTTAGGAAGATAATTTTTTTTTTGCTTTTGCAGAGCAAAGAAGATTAAGAGATGATGAATATCCATTAGAAGTTCGAGTAGTATTGGGTCCGCACGAGAACATTGCGCGACTCTTTTTAGTGGATAAACTATCGACACCGGAGATTAGCTCTGACGTTGCGCAATTCCTTAATCTTTCTTTGGTAGAATGTCACGGTATTTTGCAGCGTTATCATTATGAGGAGGAGCGCCAGATTCTTCTGTTGAAAGAAAAGTATGATTTTTCAGAAGACACGTACATTTCTTGATTTTTAAATCTTTTTTCAGAAATTTTAAATCAGAAGTATTAGTCATATGAATTTAGTCAATCAATATTTTTATATTATTTTGCATTTTAAAGTTCTCTAAAATGAATTAAATTTATTAAAAAACTGCTAAATAAAATCAATTGCACTGAGTTAATCAACACAAAGTGCATTGAAAGCGTGTTTTTCTTTTTACAGATATAAGGAGATGCGACGAAGAATACGGCAAAGAATGGAAGAGTTAAAGGTTCGACTGTAGTTAGTACGTATTCATAATGATCACTGGAATATCTATATCATTATTTTTTTTTTATTAATTTTCATTCGAAGATTTTTCTCAGTTCATTTACACGTTCGAACATATTAGAGCCATTCTGTGTCGAAATTTTTACGGAAGTCAGCAGCATGTTCGTTTATGGTAGCGAGAAACTAATTTCTAAAAAATGGTTCGTTTTTTTATTTTATGAATTGTTAGAGACCTAAACTGAAATAAATCAGTAAAAGTGCTTTTTTGAAATAAGTGATAAAAATTAACTCCTGATTCAATGTTGTTCTAACTTTGCAATTAATTAACAAACAGTTCCATTTAAACGAATTAGTCTCTCGAAACTACCGCTGATTAACGCTGCGAGTTATAAAAGAAAACAAACGGAAAAAATAAACGACCATGGATGCAAATCTTGTGCGATTCGACGCGGAATGACTCACTATTGGAAAAGTAATTTACGTTCGAGCGTGTCGAGCGATAACGTACTAACACTTTCTAGCTTAAAGTCTTGTTACATTATCCAGTTGTACTCATTATTTTTGCATCTTTGTTGCATTTACTCGTAGTCGTTTACGCGCAGCTACTATTGACTCATTCAGTGCAATTTAACTAGGAACTCACGTATCTACATGATATATTTTTTAAGTCGACTGTGCATCGAACGAGAGAAAGACACGCAGCGATGCGAATCCGTTCATCTACACGATGTCTTCTTAATTACTATTTGCTAATTATTGTACGTATAGTACTTTAACTTGATCGATTAACGATAAGAACGTACGAAATAACATTATCGTAGCTAGCTAAAGGAAATCAGGTATCCGTGTAGCAAATAAACACCTGATATTAAGGTCAATTCTTGACGACATCTGAACGACACAGAGACGAATTTTTTTATAAATGAAAAATAAAAAAAAAACGAAAAAAAAAGAAGATACTACTCGCAGTTTAGAACGTACGATTGTTAGAATCTAAAGAAAGTAAGGCTGTCCAACTTCTTACCTCGTGAGGTTTTTCTAAATTTTCTTTTCACGTAGGTGCCCGAAAAAAAAGAGGAAAGGAAAAGAAAGAAAATATTATATATTGAACGATGAATGGAAATAGAATTTTAACGATGGAATTGTTGAATTTGAAAAATGGAAATATTAGAGAAAATGTAACGTTTTAAAAAAAAAAGTATATATATATATATGTATATTGTGGGATCGAAAGAATCCTTCGACCCATTTATAAGTGGAATCCAGGAAGATGAAGAACCAAGAAGGCTGCAGCGGCGACGTTGGTAAAGGTGCACATCTTTGAAGTTCACGAGTCTCATCATCGCCTAGGCCTTCCTTTCTCCTCGATTCCTACAACATGTATGTGTGTGTATATATATATGTATATCGTCCAGATAGAAATGACTATAAACGATCGTACCTTGAAGCGCAGTTTTAGTTGGACAGCTCCGAGATCTATAGGCGACCAGATTGTTATTAAACGACAGTAACTTTCGACACGTATCATTACTGCCGCAAGATCATTGGTGGAAAAATTTGATCTGTAGATCTATAGAACGAGATATCGAAAAAAAAGAAGGGGTTACTTTGAACGTAACTTGGCTTACTAGAGTTCGTTTCGAACGGTATTTTTAATTAACGTGATCGAATTACGAGTGTAAGTAGCTTTTATTGGAGTGGAATTTTAGGGAACGAATCTCGTTTTCATGCGGTAGCTGTTTTGCAATATTACTGATGCTGCGATGACGATTAATCGTAGCTGAAATTTAGGAACATCGTATGTGATAGATGTTGAAAAATTCTTTCTGCATAGACGGAAAGTCGTAGTTTACTAGAAATGCAATTTCGATTTTCCATTAAATTGTTCGATGGAATTTATCTCTCTTTTTTGAATCGACAATTCTAAGTTTTAGGAATAAATGTGTTCTTCCACTTCGTTGTGGCATCTCTATAACTTGCTGATTTTTTTATTACTTATACTGGTTGAAATAAAAAAACTTTTTGCTTCTTTTTTTAGCGAAACAAGCCCTCTCGATTGAGATTTTTTGTCCAATGAATTAGAAATTTTTCAATCTCCTTGTAGATTTGAAAAATGTTCGACCAATTATTTATCGACTCGCGATCGAAGATTACCACGGGGGAAAAGTAAAAGTTGTTTGGTACTTTTGGTAATTGTAATTTGAAATAGTCATCGTGCAAAAACAGAGAAAAAATTATTTTCTGGGATTATGAACGAATTAAAAGTGGATTTTTATTCACTGTAGACAAACAAATACGAAAGGTATTACTTCGACAGACGTTTCATAATCATAATATGACATTAAATTTTAATTAAAATTTTACATACACAATCGTGCTATGGCAAACAATTATAAAAACGGGATTTTTAATTAGAATTTTCATTTAAACGCTACTGGTTATTTCATAAATATCGTTTCAGAAGAATCTTCCCGAATTGCTTTTTATACGAAAACGCGACGTATCGTTGGCATTTCTTAGCATTCTAATTCCAATGCAAGAAAGAATCATGTTAATCGTATTTTTTGAAGAATTTTTAGAAACTCTTTTTCGCAGAACGTTTCGAAATAAATGTTGCACCGAATACGTAGCTGTTAAACGACAACGAAAATAATTATTATTAATTCCTAGTAACGAGAAGAAACTTTATTATTTATCGAGAAGAAACGAGCACTGCCTACTCACAGCGAGAAGTACAAAACTGAAAACACCATAAATCCTGCTACAGGATACACCTAACATTATGACTGCAAAAATGTTACATTATACAAAAAGTAAAAAATAGAAAATGCCATAAATCCGGCTACGGGAAATAAACGAGCATTGTCAACTCAGAACGAAAAGTACAAAAATGAAAACACCATAAATCCTGCTACAGGATACATCTAACATGAACATAAATTTTCCTTTTATTAAAAAAAAAAAAAAAAAAAATGAAAAGTAGTTTCCAAAAATCACAAAGACTTAAGTTAAAAAAATAAAAATACAATCTTTTCTTTCACTTGTATCACACTGTGCACGAAAAATGATTAAAAGAAGTTTCATCTGGCAGCCGTAATATCGTACGACATTTATTTCGGAGCTTTCTGCGTATCGTAGAATTTCTACTAGCAGTTGTTATCTATCTGAAAGGCCTTTAACTTCCGTGTATAGACGTGGTCCAGATATCTGGAGGTACTTACGCACAGTTACGATTGTACAGTCACACGCTTAATATTGCACAGTGTAACTGGTTTTCTCGTGGAAATAAAAACGTGTACACAGCGAAGGATACACAACGGTGTAGATAATTCGCCGTTGTTTACGACAATAGATTACCGATCGTATAATCATAATTTTAAGCTAGTCACACACATCTTAAATAGTTACATGCACACAGTGGTTGCGATTCGAGTGTTTCACGATGAATTCTTCACCGAACATTTTTCTTCATTTTATACGATTCTTATCGATTCACCTGGAATTGGTATACTAAGTTAAATTACACAGATTTAAGCTACATCTTGTTTATAGGGCGACGAACAAAGTTGTTTAAAAATTCCTTGCTTAATTTCTTGGTGAAATTTTTTCCTCATTTTTTTTGTCGAACTGATAAGAGAGACTTGAGTAAGGAATTGATGAACATTCTCCATCCCCGAAGGATCTTCCATCGTAGGTTAAATATAGCCTGTATTTATATGGTCTAATTTGCAACTTATAACGGTCTAACTTATAACGTTCAAGAGGCAATTTGACTTCTGGCTTAAGTTGACGTTTATAGCATAAAATTTCTAATTAAAGTTTCCTCAAGAATAGCGTGGATAGGCGTCGGTGTCGTAATCGTGCACGATCTTTCAAATGACTCGTTAATGACAACTGTGTTGTTATAAATAAAAACGATATGGAATGAAGGAAAAGTGAAAGAAATTCTGGGCGAACTGTGTTGATTATTCTTGATAACTTATAAATTTTAAGTGATTTAATGCATATTTTATTGTCTGATTAATTTGCGATACATTTTAACTGGGTATTTAAAAAATCCTTCTAAAATTTCTTTTTCCATTGTGTCAGAATGTGTCATTCTTATCTGAACACTATCTTCAATTTCGAGTTAGATTTACTCAAAGAAATAACACGCTTAATCACTTGGTAAGCCCTTCTTAGTCTAGATTATCTAACACAAAGAAACTTTGAGTCGGTCGAATAGCAACGAAAACAATCTGGGATAATCAAATTATGCAGTTTATCTTGTCTTTCACTCTCATCCAGCGGTTGTTTGCTGAACAAACATTGTAGAAGGTGATTCGGTAACTATCTGCCACATTAATACTTCTGAAACTGTACAAGTCAAACGAACATTTGTTTAGTAAAGATTTGCATAATGCAAAAATAACCATAGGTATGGTTACTGTGGATAAGAAAAGTTTCATATGAAAAAGGAAAAATTGTAATAAATATTTCATGGGAAATATTAACATTACATTTTACAAATAGCATAAATTTTGCAATATGCTTAGAATTTGCATATATTATATATCCTTCGAGGTTCGTGCAAAACAGACAAGAGGATCAAGAATGTTATACAATGTCTGCTAAGAGCACGTGGAGTGTCTGACCATAGGCGTACTAAAACTACTTGCTCTCTAGTCAGGCTTCGCAGGCTGTCGATAATTGATCTCGTTAAGGAAGGACTTAAAAAACTGAAAATATAGTAAATGTATAAAGTCTCCAATATATATTTACGCATTTTGGAAAACAAACATATCATTTTATTTGAGAAAATGAAACTGATAATCATATTTTGATATGATATAACTAGCTTTATTATCGTGCAATTTTTGTTGAACACATTTTTCTTCGACTTGTATAATTTTAGAAACCCTAGAATAATAGTGATCATCAGATTAGCCTATGCAAAAGAAAAAAAACTTTATTCCTTTAGATGTAGCGTTAGAAAATAATATGCAAAGAAAAACAGACATTTGTATGAGGTAA